ATTTTAGCATGTGCAGAAATGGACAGGCTCACAATGATACTAAAAGATAAATGTGGATCAATTTTTTTTGAAACCTGGGATAAATTTTACCGCTGGAGGAATTTGAAAAGGACGGCTGGGATTAAAGACGAATGATAAGATAGAAATGTATGTCATTTTAGAATAGATAATGTATATAAAATTTAATGTATATGTAGAGATAATGAATTGATTGTAAAATATGATATAATCTGATAAGAATGTATATACTGGAATGTCACGTGAAATCCAATGTTTGTTTTTTTTAATTGTTTTATAAATAAAAAGTTTAAAAAAAAAATACAGACAACCATAAATACAGAAATACTGTTAAAACAACATTTATTGAAACGTATAACTTGTCCTGCAAAAAGTGAGAAAAATCAAGAGCTGATTTCAACCAAACATGGTTTTATAGGGCCCTTTCATCTCCTATTTTTCTCACCATTCCAAGTCCAAACATAGTGTTTTGGGTGGCCACACACACACACACACACACACACATATATATATGAACAAAATACAATACACGTCAACACACAGCACCATCAGACATTGTCTGACAGGGTTAAACTTAACAGATTACAAAGAAGTTTCAAAACATTCCTATTTGTTCAAAACACATTGCAAAGGAGTACATTTTGAGTTAATTTATGTCTTTAAATTACTCTGAAGATTCCCCTTTTCTGGGTACGATGGATGGTGTTTCAGTTGAAGAGGCAATGTTGGAGTATTTTGCCTCAGAACATTGTTTCTGCATAAATGCGTCCTCATATGGAGGTGGAGATGCAGTGTTGAGCACCATGGCATCGCTCAAATCTTTAATAGCTTTTTCATAAATTTCCAAACTGTCAACAATTACTTGACAAGTAATAATCAAATCATAAGAGGCTTTATGGGGTTCATTTAAATATTTCAATATACGCCTCCATTTTTTAGATGAAATGTCCCCTGAAGGGGGATAAGTGGGATATTTTCGCCAAATGAATTTCAACAATTTGATTAAATCATTCCCTGAAATTGAGTTTAAAGGTTTGCCATGGTTTATGCAAATAATTTTTGCAGCCTTGACAAGGTCTCCAAGTTCTTGGAGGTGCTTAACCTGGCCCTTGGACAACCCTTTCCCCATACTCACTAAGTCTGATGACTGCGGAGTGCCTCACTGGCAAGAGTACGGGGGCGTCGAGGCGAACAACCAGGACCGGGGATCACGTCGGGGTCACCAGTTGTGGCTTTTCTCGTGGCCAACGGGCTCACCATGAAGGGGTCCAGGCAGCCCCGCGCCGGATGGAGTGAGAACAAAGACACAGAGTCAAATTCTCCTCGGGATGAGTGAGCCCCGAGCTAGCTCGAGACAAACCTTTTATTGAGGTTTGTTAGGGGTGGGTTTCAAAAGTATCAGAAGGCAAGCATATGATCCTGATTTAACCACTCATAATTTGACACATTGGGTCAGATATACATATATGGCAAGTGTGTTTACAAGCA